TGCTCGTCGGAAACCCCTAAGAGGTACCAAGATCCTGTTTTGTGGGCGTGGCTTGAAATTTCTTTCTCTCCTTAGAGGTACTAATTCTTACATAACACATTATCTCCTGTCATATTTTTTCGGCGCACTACCCTAAAAGGTACTTCTAGAGCTTCTGCTGTGGACATTTGGACGTTAAATACCCTAAGAAGTACGAAAACCGCGTTTTCAACCCCTTCGATAAGCACTCCCGTCATTTTCATATGGGAGCTCACTCCTCCCCTCCCCCTTTACGGGGGCCAGCACCAGGTTCAGGGTTCTGGAAGACATTTCCGCCATAGTAAAGGCAAATGACCGTGGCTAAAAGAAAGAGGGTGAAAGAGGGTTGGAAAAGAAAGAGTTTGAGGTAATCTTACGCAAAATTGGTTCGTAAGTATAAGTTGGGTCAGGTACCATACGCGTCATCCAGCGCGTGCTCGCGCTCCCCTCCCTCTCCAACACACGTTTTCTGACATGACGAGTCTTTAAGAAATCCTTTCTCAGCTCCCAATTGTGATCGCGGAATCTCACTAAAACGCTTCATGCGTTAATTTGCGACGTTTCTGTGCGGAGATCGGGCGACATCGGACACCAAGAAAAACTGGAAACCGGGGAAGGGGTTTGTGAAGATTTCTCGTGTCAAAAAGCATGTGTGGGAGAGGGAGGGAAGTGCGAGCGCGCTAGATGACGCGTTTGGGATCAGGGTACGATCATGTTGCGAAAAGCGATTTCCGAAAAAAAAAAAACTTTGCAAGAGACGTTACAATTCTCCGACTGTCGTAAAAGTATTCAAAAACAAATTCGGCCAAGTTGTGAAAAAATCTGACGACTTCGTTTTTTGTTGGTTTGGTTTCGTGCAAACTGTAAAATTTTATTTTAACCGGCCACCTCTATTAAGCGGCCACGGTCACCTCTTGGTCGTCCCGAAGAGGGTTTTTTTTTTTATTTTCTTTACCCCTGTCAAACGGCCAAGGCCACCCAAAATTTAATAACTTTGTTTTGGAAAAGGCGATTGCAGATAAGAGTCCGAAATTGAAGGTGGCGAGTGATAATTCAAACACACGTTTCTTTATATCATGATTGTCTTGATGTGACTCCTTGTTCGCTATGAAATTAACCCGATGGTGCAAAATATTCAAGGTACACGTGCACGAACCTCTATTTAGCGGCCAACTTATATTAAGCCGCCATCTCCCATTTCCCCTAGGGTGGCCGCTTGACGGGGGTTCCACTGTATTATATGTAAACCAAACAAAAAAAACTGCACTATTCCTTCTTATCATTCCTTTATTTACTCTCTTCCTACTCAAAAAGATTGTGAGCTCGCTTCCTGTCAAGCCCTAGGATAGAAACTTGTCCTACCCCTACCCCCTGAAAATGGGATGACACTAGTTGCGTGACGAACAAATAAGGAAACCGCTGAAAGGACTCAAGGATTCAAGCAGCAATCGATCAACAGCTGGATCAAACGTATTTATATTTTGGCAACGCAAGCAACTATCTACAAATGACTTAGTCGTTTTTGACTTAGAAGTAGTGGCGATCATGTGCGCCGAAGCATGACCACAGATTCATGGTATCTGATCATTAAATACATGTACGTTGACAGTTGGCGATGTACATCGGACGCAGTGTAAACAGAAAACAACTTTACTGCTTCATATGCGACGAACGGTGGGAGAGAGACGTTAAATCAGGTTTTGGACCTGCCTTTTACAGCAATCAAGGTTAGAACATTTCGAAATGATCAGCTCTTTGTCTATTTCAACTTAATATAGGTCAAGACATGTGGCGCATTCTAAAATATGTGTCTAACCCGTAAATTGAAATTTGAAAACGGAAGGTCAAATGTTTGCACTTTTAACGTACTTTGAAAAGCTCTCGCGTCGCTCACAAACATTTGCCCAAAGAAATTTTTACAGGAAACTGTAGACCATCGTTCGCCAATTCAACCACCAGAAGTTTAAGTCATTTAAAGATTTCGCACATGGTGAAAATTAATTATATTTACGAAGTACTTTTAGGTGAATGAAATACATGTCTTCGAATTTAATTATTTTGCACCCAAAAAGACAACACAACATTCCCCAAAATCAAACCAGTACACATTTAAACATTGCGCAAAATTATTTGAGTGTTTTAAAGACGAAAGATTGATGTGATTTTGCATGCGACGCTCTCGAACTTGTTTTATAAAAGGGTGCGTAAAATGACGATTTTAACGGAATTTGTTAATTTGCATTTTTCTTTCAAATAAAACGATATTTTGCCAAAAAACTACCAAGTAGTTTTTGTCATGCCCTAGCCTATCTACCATAAAAAATATGAGCGAAATCGAATTTTTGATCCTTGCCTCGAAATTAAGAATTTGTCTGATTTCTACAGGCAGGTACTGTTAAGTAATATTGATTTCTTACCTCGCTCAGCGTAATGCCCCTGCCAACATGGGCGACCTTCGTATGGGCGTCGCGAACTATGAGGTCCACGATGAAACTCTTCTTCGGGAGGATCACATTATGCTTAAAGCCTTCCGAAAACTCTTCTGACTTGCTTAGCCTTCCGCCAACACGTATGAGTCCGTCCCGGTCCAGGAAAGGATCAAGGCGATACAACGTACTAGATTTCTTCATTTCGGACTTTATTACCTTCGCAAATTGGCGGTCACTCTCACAATCTACTCGTGGAACTTTCTGCAGAGCTTTTATTTCTTTGGGAAATGCACCTCTTTGTACCAGTTTCAGAATGGTCTTCTCTGCTCCGTCTAGTTTTTCTACTCTTAGGGGCTTGCGTTTCACGCTTGCTGTTCGTCCCACTTTGTCTGCTCCATCATTGGGAAGCAATGCCCTCTCATCCGAGTTTGGTTTTAGACGGAGTATCAAGGTAATGGATTTTTTTCATACGGTGCCACTCGGAAAAGCGTGTGAGCCTTTTCAAAAGGTCTGCGTTCTCTTCAACATCCATGCTGTGCACAAGAACCTTTTTAACATCAGGATCATCGTAGGAAACGTCGTCCAAGTCACCCGGAAGTTGACGCCATTCGCTCTCGGGTAACCATTGGAAATTTGGATCTGTAATCCAACGATGCTGTTTGGATAGCTCATGGCCTTTCAAACCACGTGACGAGTCATCAGCCGGATCAATGTCGGTCCCAACGTACCTCCACTGGTAAGGATTCGTTGCATCTCTTATTGTTTGCACGCGATTCGCCACAAACACGTGGAAACGCTTCTTGTCATTTCGGATGTACTTCAAAACAGTTGTACTGTCTGTCCAATAAGTCTTACTCTCTGCAGGTTCGTCTAACTCGCTGGCAATCATCTCTCCCAGTCTAACTGAAACTGTGGTCGCCGTAAGCTCAAGACGTGGAATTGTCATGGTTTTAACGGGAGCTGCGCGGACTTTCCCCATAAGGAACGCACAATGGATGTCTCCTTTCTCGTTCTCGATTCTGAGGTATGTCACCTGACCGTAACCCTTTGAGCTAGCATCAGAGAAGTTGTGGATTTGTCTGGAGACGACT